TGGATAATTCTGGTGCGAAGTCTTCTTGGAAGACCTGAGCAGGGCCATAATGTCTTGGCAAAGGCTTGAACAGAATCTTCGTGAATATGCTGCAGAAGCTGCCGTTCGTTTTCTGTGTTGATCTCGATCGTAGCCTTCAAGTTGTTCATGTCCGTAGTAGCATCTGCACTTTCCAATGCAGCGCGTCAACTTGAACGGGCTCTTAAGTTTCGTCTCCTTCCGATGTCGCTGTCCGTCAGGTAGAGAAGAAAACCTGCACATGTCCGTAGAGTATGTGTGTCCATTGAACTTGTCATGATACTGTAGTGCTGCCAATGGTGACTTGGTCCATATGGCTGACGACTTCGGATTCTCGAATATTCCATGTCGATCTTGTTGAGCATTGCCACAAGCGTTCTGCAAGATGAACTGTCGCATGCCTGTTTCTTGTTGCCTTTTGTCTAAAGTAACTTCTGGATCTCTGCTGCTGCCCATTCGACTCCAGTATTCGCATCTTGGTTCATAAGTAGTTACCATTGGAAGGAAGTGTTGATCGGCTGTATGTAGTAGCTGCTGATGTTCAGGAAGACGTAGGTCCCAGCCGTAGCGTAGGTCCACAGGGAATAGAACGATATGGTTGAAAGGGGCAGAGAGCAGAATTAGAGCGAGTCGAGAGGATCCTGAACACCATGTCCATAGTGAAATTCTCGGTAGTCTGTCGCCAAAGCATCCGGAGAGCACATCCATAAATTGAGAGAAACAGGATGGAGTAATAACGGGTAGATCCTTGAGCGTGGTGTAGAACATCTCTGGGATGGCTTTGAATTCACTGTTGGCCTCGTTGAGCTCGTCAGGAGAAAGAGAGGAAGGAAACATGGGTGTCCCTGTCCAGCGCGGTGCTGAAATAGTACTCCATGCATGTAGATATCGTTGAACTGTGGAATTCCGAAATGAGTACAACTCGTGGCCAAACAGTTTCTCGTCGTGTTCAGGACCTATTGAAAAAGCGTCGGCCTCGGGGTCGAGTCCTCGCCGTCATGTCTGTGTAGAGTCCTGCAACGAATGCTGTCGATACTGGCGCATTCTGAGAATACTGCTGGTAGGAGGGGAAGTCCATGGTGTTGGACGGTGGCAGTTGCCGCTGAGCGGCACGTCCAAGCTGCTGTTTCTCGTTCTTCACGAGTCGGTCCTGCTTCCAGTCGCGCGGCTTGTTGATTTGGTCAATAGGTAGTAGATAATGTCCTGAATCTGTCAACAACTATCTCTGAGCACAAATCGAACTGTCCGTTGTCCTGATGCCGAGCAGGCCATCGTTGTTGGCGAAATATCCGCAACAAATGATGCATCCAGCATTGAGTAAACTCACCAATGGAACCAGACCAGGGCACCTTGATGATATTCCTCCGAGAACGTCGGCTGTGAAGGTCGCGTTCTTGATGCCCTGCAAGCCGATGGGAAAACTTACCAATGACAATGACTTCTGTGGGTCTGCCGTAATGCCAGTGAACTTGTTGATGCTGGGCTTCCACTTTACGAACTTCTCAAGACGTCTGGGGCGTAGAATCTGTGCTACAATATCTGCAAAAGTATCTGTGCCAATCAATCCTCGTGAAGCTCCAGGGTCTATCAGCAAACCATACGCCTTGATGCCTTTGATCACCGTGAAGTTGTGAAATCGGTCACTCTGGTAGACCATGCCTTTTGCGATGAAGCTGCCGTGCTCCTGGGGAGCATTGGTAAGGTGGACCTCCTTGACTTCTTCCTCGTCGTCGTCCTCGAGGATAGCTTCCGGGATAAAGCCAATCTTCATCCATGATGATGGTGTCCTGCTCAGTGTAGGGCTTGATGCTGATGAGGGTCCTTCTGTGAGTTCTTCTCCGAGGTCTGTGGCATCCTTGATGTGGCTTGCCGTGCAGTCGAAGCACTGCATCTTGCTGTTCGACGAATTTAGGAATGAATGATCTGAACAGCATTGCTTCAAGCACGCGGCGCAAATCGCTGTCGATACCTTCCAGCATGTGTGACATATCCTCGGTACTTCCAGGCTCGTCGATGTCAATGGGACGTAGAGAGGTTCGCGCAGTCCTGGAGGACGGCTTATCTCCATGGGTCCATTCGAAGAGGATGAGGCTGAGTTTGTCGTGGTTGTTGCAGGCGCTGCTGATACTGCTGGTACTGATGTCGCTCCTGGAGGGTCCGGTCCGAAGATCAGCTGGTACGCTTTTCCCGCCTTGTGTCTCTCTAGCTTCCTGTGATGGTCGCCATCCGACTCTGATGTAGGAACAAAACCAGAAGGACTGTCCTGATCATGTTGTGCTCCATCTCGTGCACTTGTCGTGGGGAAGGTTGCGTACATCTGACCGTAGTTGCGCTGCTTGTAACCGTTATTGGAAGATCTCTTGCCCTTGCCTTTTTTATTCTTGCCTCTGAAAGATAATCGTCCAAAATCGCTGCGGCCCATTGAACGTTGTCCTTTTCCGCGTCCTGGTTGATAGCGTGGCCCGTGTGGTCGTCGATCATATCCTTTTCCTCGAGAACCTCTGAGAGTGGGCTTCCAAGATCCTTTGCGGGTCCAATATTCTTCGTCTTCTTGAGGTCGATCGGAATCCGCATGATGTTCTGATTCGTGCTGTCCATTGGAAGATGCAGGTCCTGAGTTCGTCTTCATAGGGCATTGTTCCGTAGCGTGCCACTTGCTACCACACTCCGTACACTGATCGCCACTAGATCGTTTTCTTCGTCCTTTATTGTGTTGTCCGCGTTGTTGATGGTCGCCGTATCCTTTTCCTTTCCGAGACTTTCCTCCAAACTTCTTGCCTTTTCCGCCGTAGTAGTCTCCGTGGTCCTCTCCGTATTCGTCTGGATATTCTTCCTGCCATTCAGACCAATCATCACCTTCTTGATCGTCGTAGTACTCCTCTTCAGTCCAGTCTCGACCAGAGTCGTAATCATACCAGTCGTCATCCTCGTTCCAGTACTCTTCGTCATTCCAGTCGTCGTCGTAGTACTCCTCAGTGTTGTACTGCTTGTATCCTTGGGAGTGGTCGTAGCTGGCGGACTCATTCTTAGAGATCTTCATCTGGAGGGCTATCATCTCTCTGTAACGTGTGAGGTCTCCGCCAACCTTGAGTCTGAGATCTGAGAGCTGTCATTCTGCAGTGCCTGAGCGACTGAAGAAGAGCCATGCTTTGCCACTGTCACCAATGGCGAGACCTCCATGTTTTTCTGCTTCCGAGTAGAGGCGTTCCCATTCAACAACGTACGTGGAGAAGTCCATGTCGTAGGGTTTGACGAAACAGAAGAATCTGTCCAGGCTCGTCCAGGCGAGATCCTGGTCGTCTAAGTAGTAGAGTTCCGTGAGCTTCGCAATCAGTACTTTGACTCCTGAAGGGTACGCTGGAGCAAGACTATTTCCTGCTTGGTCATTGATAGCTGGTTGAGCGTCAAGAGAAACTGCCTCGATCCCTTCGTATGTCGTCTGCACAAGAGTCTGGGGATCTGGCCTCTGAATACTCAAGCCAATTGCAATCCTTAGAGCTCCTCCTTCCAGTCGTGACATGATCGCGGGTCCTATCTGTTCTTGATCAAGCTTGGTCAGGCGGCCCCAGATGGCTAAGTATTCTTTGTACTCCTTGAGCGGGTAAGCTCTGGGTCTCCATCCTGGTGGCACATCCTTCGTGTATTGCCGAAGACCAAGCTGAGAAGTTGCCGTCGTCTGCTGCATTGTATTTGAATGATACTGTAATGAAATAGATGGTCTCGAAACCAATCCGTTGTCCTCGGTATCTGATGTAAATCTGAAACCGTTCTGATAGTTGTGGTCCCGATGTAGATCTGAAACCGTTCTGATAGTTGTGGTCCCGATGTAATCTGAAACCGTTCTGTCTGCTGCACAAGCCTGACAGGTGCGCGCGCAAGCGTGCGGTCCGTGGACAGAGCCTCCGTAGAGGCTCCGCTACCAAATTCGGGATATCGATGAGAATCGTATCCAATAAGAATTGATGAGGATCACTTATCTTGATAATTAAGAGTGAATCTGTTAAAGATATCGGATGAGATCTTTCTTCACTAAGCCAAACGGCTACAGTACGTAGCAAAGCAGCAGGCTGTCAAGCAAGAGCTTAGCCTGGAAGCCAAGCTTTGGGACGTTAGTCCAGGGGCTCCCAAGAGGCTCTTTATACAGGGACCCGCTCGAAACCTATCATACATCAGAATTCTAACTCCGGGACCCCCCCCGCTAGGAGGACCCCCCCCAGTCTTCCCCCAGAACCCCTGGGACCCCCCCCCCCCGGGCTTCCTCCGGGACCCCCCCCCCCCCGGCCAGGGAAGAGAACAAGGGAAGGAACAACTTTTCGAGTCCATTTATTTTACGTAGGAGGAAGAGATGAAGGAGGAGGAGGAGGAGGAGGAGGAGGAGGGGAGGAGGAGGAGGATGAGGAGGAGGATGAGGAGGAAGAGGGGAACGAACGAGAAGGATACGAACAGGAGATGGAGAAGGTGGCAAAAGACGCTCAGGAGGAGGAGGTGGTATTCTGACCCGGGACCCCCCCCCCAGGACCCCCCCTGGGACCCCCCAGGACCTCCCCGGGACCCCCCCACCCCCCCCGGGACACCCCCAGGACCCAATTAGGAGGGAGGTGGTATTCTGACCCGGGACCACCCCCCGGGAACTCACCCGGGACCCCCCCCGGGCTTCCCCCGGGCCCCCCCCCCCCCGCCCGGCCGGGGAAGGGAAGGAAGGAAGGGAAGGGGAAACCCTTCGAGCCAATTTATTTTTACGCAGGAGGAAGAGATGAAGGAGGAGGAGGAGGAGGAGGAAGAGGAGGAAGAGGAGGAGGAGGAGGAGGAGGGAGAGACGAACGAGAAGGAGACGGAGAAGGTCGGAAAGGGAAGGAGGCGCGGACGAGAAGAACGACCCATTCCACGCGCCGTCACGGTCGGCGGCTTTTATTGTTTGTTCGGCCTCGGGCGAAGGCAGCCCGCCGGGGGGGCGCGCCCGCCGCCCGCCCCCCCCCGCGCAGGCCTGGGGCGCCCGCGAAGCGGAGCAGGGCCGCGGCCGGCAGCGGCGCCTGAGGGGCCGAGCCTGGCCCGCCGCCGCCGCCCGGCGCGCTGCCTCCTCGGGCGGGCCTCCTTCGGGGAGGGAAAGAAGGACGTACATGTACATGAATCCCTGCTGTTTTCGGGAGCACGCATTTCACAAATGTTCGTATAACGCGGCCGGTCTCGCGAATCGAGGGGCCGTGTTCATGTACATAGCTGGGCGCGTACGCCCTTTGTGGGCTCCCTACTCCCAGGGGAGGAAAGTGAGAAGGCGAAAAGCCACCCCCAGCCCCAGACGTAAGTCGGGCCTGTCCCTCTACGAGGGGGAATATTCAAAAATAGTCAAAAATAGTTTGTCTGTTTTTTCAGTACGTTTGCCCATTTTGAGGGGCATTTTTGCATTTTTAAGAAATTTGTCATCGAAGATCCCCCTGAAACCAACGCGCCTGTCGTCACGATACGAACCCGCCCCGCACTATTTGGTCACTCCCCTTGGGCGCGAAAGCGATCGGGCCCCGAACGTCGCGGCCTGGGTCAGTGCGGATGCCATTCTCCACGGCCTGGAGATAGCCGCTCGTCGCGCGGTGTGCGATGCGCGAAGTTAGGTGGCTTGCGCAGGTCGGACCGAGGTATACGATCGAGGTCGGTTCGGGGAGGTTGCCCTATGTAATACCTTTCGTGCTTGTCGGATGTTATGGTGCATCATGGCGAGGGTACCCTTCGATGTTCTGTGTGTTTTGGCTGGCGGAGGGTCTCATGTTCTTGGAATGTTTTTTGCCCTGGGTCCGACCGTACAGAAAGGGAAGGGTACGGAAAGACCGACAGCATTTCTGGCCCATTTCAAACAGGACGCGGTGTCGGAGTTGCCGCGGACGCTGTCCACTCGACACATGAAGTCGCCTGCCCTCGGCCGCCCTCTGTCGAAGCTTGGGCCACGCTCGCAGCGTGCCCTGTTGCTTCCGTACTTTGCACCCTTCCGGTGTCCAAGGCGGTCTGCTCACCCGTATCCTTGCCTTGGCCCCCTGGTAGAGCGCCCCCTCAGGCCACTGGCAAAGCCATAGCCAGGCCAATGTCTGATCTGGCATGCTCGGCAGGCCCGGCACCCCATCGTATCAGCGTCGAGCCGCTAGGACGGCGAAAGCGCCTATCTGACCTCAGACCCCTCTCTCCTCCACCAAGGCAGGGGGATGTTCCGGGATATTCCCTCATTTTGGGGCACTGGACATCGAGAACAGAAGAACCCCTAACCCGAATAACACGATGAAGACGTGGCCTAACCTAGGTCCTCCTCTTCGCATTAGGGATCGTAACTCTGGACGGTTTAGTTTCATACTCTGCAGAAATGACCCTTTGTCCATAATGTCTTTGCCCTTCCTAGCTTTGGTCCCCTCGCAATGGGTTCGGGATTATTGTAGTGCTAATCATCTGGGAACTTGCGCTGGGCCCCGGGGCCGTCAGCTCGCGATGCCGGGATGCAGGGTCCCCTTCTTGAGAGCACCTCGGCATCGGATCGCTGTGGAGAGGGGTTTGGAGCGCGGGGGGGGGGGGGGGGGCGGGAGGCGATGAGGAGGGACAGGAAGGCTCACGAGGAGGAGGGACAAGGAAAGGGAGGCGGGACTCGAAGAGGAAGAGGAGGGGAGGCAGAGGAGGAGGAGGAGGAGGAGGGAGGAGGAGGAGGAGGAGGAGGAGGAGGAGGAGGAGGAGGAAGGCTCACGAGGAGGTGGGATTCGAAGAATAAACAGCGCCATAAACATGAACTTCTGGTGCTCCGCGCGCACTTCTTGGGTCCGCACTAGGGCCCCCTGGCGGCGCCTCCGGCGCCTTCAGCGCAGATCCAACACATCCGCGCAGAGCGCCAAAAGTTTATGGCTATGCCGTTTCGGTTTCTTCTTCTTCTTCGTCTTCTAGGGATGATGATGGTGAGGATGAGGATGAGGATGAGGAGGAGCCAGGCGCGGTTCCATGCACAACCGAGTGCAGTCGGGGACGGTAGCACGGAGAGGCCGCGTGAGGGGGATGGTGCAGATGCATGGCAGGCGCTACTTTTTCGCACCACCGCCTTGTACAGCGGTGGTGCTGTTGATTTTCGAGTCGCCGCCCTAGCGGTAGCTGCTGCTGATGTCGCGGGGTTTGCATGTCTTTCCGACGGGTAGCCCATTGCGATCTTTCCCTGCGAGCCTCTACCCTTTCTTCCTTGGCCCTCGCGGCACCCCTCGCACGGCGCTCGCAGGCCGCCGCAACGTTCTCGCGTCTTCAGGCCGTTTCTGCGAGATCTTAGCAGGACCAGTCGCGAGTCGCGGCTTTGTCCTCTCGCTCAAACGGTGGTCCGACGAAAGGGGTAGCCAGGCATGCAGCCAGTCCGATGGAGCCAATGCTCGGCACATCGTCGGGCGCGAGTGTGTTAAACCTCACGAGCCCGAGTGAACAACTCAAGAAGTGTTCTTCGCGCTTTGGAAAAACATGTGCCAGACTCGCTTCTAAGCAGGCATGCGAAAACTCACGAAGCGGGGTTTTGGTATTATCTGCCACGTGCAGCTAATTTCAGCGCCACTGTCGGGTGCCTTCCTCGATGTGTATGGTCGTCGCCACTGGCGCTGGGAGGTGCCTGGGAAGCCAGCTACGCGGTCTGATTCGCTAACCCCCGTTTTGCCATCCCTCCATTATCGTCTGGCCCGACGGAAGCTTCACATTTCGTATGACAGGGCCGATCGTTTTCGGGGGGGAGTATGTAGCGACTTCCGATTTCTGACCTCAAGTGGCCTATGGTCTCTGCCGACGTGGTTTTCTGTGGCATTTCCTGCAGAGGAGGAGCATAAGTGGCATGACGAGGGCGAGGGAAGGGAGAGGACGACAGGAGGAGTTGGAGGACGAGGAACAAGATGAGAAAGACGAGGAGAAGGAGGAGGAGGAGGAGGAGGAGGAGGAGGAAGAGGAGGAGGAGGAGGAGGAAAAGGGCTTTGGCAATCGCCATGCGGTATCGTGGGCGTGGGTGCGGTGACCAGGTGCAAAGGCATAGTTCCACCGGGGGGTCGCCATGCCAGTGATTGCAGAGCCGTCCGTGGGCGCGCGGGGGAATCATCGAAGTCGGGTCGTCGGATTGCTCAGCCGCAGCTCGGGAGAAGTCGGCGCCCGGCGGCTGCTCGTGCCGCGGCTCCGAACGAGGGGGGACTTCGCACTCCGATGGCCCACTGCTCCTCCTCCGCCTCCCCCTCCGCCTCATCTTCCTCCCCCTCCGCCTCCTCCTCCTCCGCCTCCTCCGCCTCCTCCGCTCCTCCGCCCTCCTCCCCCTCCTCCTCCCGCCTCCCCCCTCCTCCTCCTCCTCCTCCTCCTCCTCCCCCTTCTCCCCCTCCTCCTCCCCCTCCTCCTCCCCTGCTCCTCATCCTCCGCCTCCTCCTCCCCCGCCTCCTCCTCCTCCCCCTCCTCCTCCTTGCTTCCACCCATCGCTCGCCGCCCAGACGTCGGATCGGCGTGGCGCGGCGGGGCCTCGGGGAAAAAGCAGGCGTCCGGAGTCCGCTCCTGCGGGCCCCGGGGCCTCCCGGGGCCCTCTTGCCCTCCCTGGGCCCGTCGGACGACCGTCGGACAGCGGTCCGGGATGAGGATCGGGCGCGGCCAGGAGGGGGGGGATGACGAGGGGGGGTGACGAGTGGGGAGGAGGAGGAGAGGAGGAGGAGGAGGAGGAGGAGGAGGAGGAGGACCAGTGGAAGCCCAAGAGTCATCGACGGTGTTGGAATGAACCCTCCCTCCAAGCTCCCTCTTCACAGGCCCCTACATAGGTTCATTTCCACTGTGGGAACTGCCTCGTTGGAAGACAACCGTTTGAAGATCCTGAAGCGTGCCAGAACATGGTTCTCGGGATTTCAACGCCACACGTATCAATCTGATTGTTGCGTCTGTCTTGACGATCAGAATCGTGCCAGAACGCCGTTGTTGGGACTTCAGTGCAGCGAATCAAAATAACTGTTGCGCCCGCATAGTCCTGAGCCCTTCCAAAAACCCATTTCTGGTGCGTTGATCCTGGGAGTCCGTGAAATTCTTCCAAAGTTTTAGAACGAATGTGCGCGGCACTAAGGCGAGAGCCATATTTTGAAAAGGAGCCGCCCTGAATATGTGAAGTTCTTGCAATGTTTTCAAACGAATGTACGCGGCGCTGAGGCGAGAGCCACTTTTCGAAAAGGAGCCACCCTGAATCCGTGAAACTCTTGCAAGTTTTTAGAACGAATGTGCGCGGCGGTGAGGCGAGAGCCACACTTTGAAAACGACCCGCCCTGAATCGGCGAAACTCTTGCAAGTTTTTGAAACGAATGTGCGCGGCGCTGAGGCGAGGGTCACACTTTGAAAACCACCCGCCCTCAATTGGTGAAACTCTTGCAAGTGTTTAAAACGAATGTGCGCGGCGCTGAGGCGAGGGTCACACTTTGAAAACCACCCGCCCTCAATCCGTGAAGCTCTTGCAAATGTTTGAAACCAATGTGCGAAGCGGTGAGGCGATAGCCACATTTTGAAAACGACCCGCCCTCGATCCGTGAAGCTCTTGCAAATGTTCAAAGCGAATGTGCGCGGCGCTACGGCGAGAGCCACATGTTTAAACCACCCGCCCTCAATCCGTGAAACTGTTATCACTGTTTAAGCTTTAGAGTCATAACTGGTGAGGAAGTCTCAGGCGAAACGCCAGGCCCGCCCTAAAAACTGGCCTCGGGGTGCGACAGGGAGGAGTTATCTATAAGGAGGAGGAATGGAGGAGGAGGAGGAGGAGGAGGAGGAGGAGGAGGAGGAATAGGAATAGGAGGAGGAGGCGGAGGAGGAGGAGGAAGAGGGGAGGAGGGGGAGGAGGAGGAGGAGGAGGAGGAGGAGGAGGAGGAGGAGGAGGAGGAGGAGGAGGAGCAGGAGGAGCCATGAGATCTCCCCAGATTTCACGTCGCCTCTTCTCATTTCAAGACGTCCCCGGCGCCCCCCCCGTGGGCCGCGCACATGCCGCCGGCCATGATTTGCGCCTTCCCCTCTTGGACGCCCCCCTCCTGGCCGCCCCCGAGAGG